TTAATTAACGAGCTAATAAATTTACGAGAGCGCATGGAACGCGTGCGAAGCGGACGACTGCTATCGCGAGAATGAAACCATAATTAATCGTATTCTATCCTTCATCCTCGAGACTGGTCTATCCGTTTATATAAATAAATTATTGTAAATACCTAATTGTACTTATATCTGTAAATGTCGAAATAAATTGTACATATACAAAGTTTCCTAATAAAAAAAAAAAAATGTATACATTATGCACATATACTAAAGTAGATACACTGTATAAATCATTTTATTGAAGTACTTCAAATGTGCCATTGTTCTTCCCAAAATAAAAATTATATTAATTATCTAACTTGACGAATTTATTAAAATAATTTGACAGAATAATTTTCTTACAAAAGAAGTTAAATAATTTGTACTTATAAAATCATTTTTTAGATAATGATACAAAAAACGTAGATGGTTTCCAAAGAATGATTATTATGAGTAAAAGCTAGATGGATTTTACTTTGTACATAATAATTTAGAATTTTATTCGTTTTCAGTTTGTACATGTGGTACAAAGTGATTGGTAGCCAATCTTTGACTGATAACATAAAGCTTCTATTTTCTTTGGACATAATTTAATATCATTCTATAAAATTTCTTTTAAGTTTAATATCATATCGGTTTTCATTTATATATTACATGTAAAGCAGGTTCTATTATTATATAATTTTATAATCTGTATTAAAAAAAAAAAAATATGAAACAAAGTCATCATGATTTTTCTCGATCTAATTAAAATATTATAATTATATGATAAAACGTATTATATAAAAATATGATTGTTTGGTTACCACTATTTTAGTATTGTATTTTAAGATGGAATGAAATATTTATTAAATACATAATTATGAAATTATTTTCAATGACTTCGACTTCAATTGATTACAAGACATGGTACCGTTACCGAACATACGAACAAAAAATACCTCCGAATAATTATATTGATTTTAAATATTGTGCAATATAACAATTGCAATCTATATCAACCAAAGGAAAACTATTCAACAATTTAAAAAAAAAAATTATATTCATATTTTTACCTTTAAAATATTTACGATTTTCCAATTTACCAATTTTCCGCAATGAAACAAAATATGACTTTAATAATTAGTTAAAAGATCTGTCTGTTTTATGACTAAACAAATAAACCAATATTTTTTTTTTATGAAGATTAAAAATAATTAAAAGAAAAAAAAGAAAAGAAAAAATTATTACATGGTAAATATTCGTAAATTAATAAATAAATAGTTTATATTTATAAATAAATAAATGTATAAAAAAAATCTTAACCGGAGTAATACTATATTAGCAAAGTAATACCGGATCAAATTAAAAATGTGTCATCAGATATACATAAAGTGAATCAAATTACAAAAGTCAAATCAAAGATTAAACTAGTAACATTTTTTTACTAACACACGATTAAAAAAATTATCTAAAGAAGGTATAAAAATGGAAATTCTAAAATAGACTTCAGGTGATTTTGTTAATATACTAAGATTTTTTCGGTTTATAGCTAGTCCAGGTATTAAAATTTTTATCCACCATGACCAACATTTTTTCAACGTCCTTATACCTATTTTTATTTTAATTCCTCTACAATATTTATACACGTTAAACCTACTGGACTCAAAAAATTATCTGCAAGTTACATTGATAAAATATATAAAATATAGACAAATCTATATCTTCTTTTTGAAATTTTTACAATATATACAATTTAGATGTTACAAAAAAGAAAAATAATTAAATTTGATTATTTATATTTTTTTTTTTTTTAAAGCAAGCTTGTGCTGAAAAAAGAGAAATTTTTATACAAAATGTCCTTAAAAATAGAAAAAAAAATCCATACGAATAAGAAAAATGATAATAAAACTACATAAATAATAATTAGACGTGTAATAATGGATCTCAAAAAACCTTAAGCATAGAATAAATTAAATTTAACTTATTTTGTGTCTCACACAATGACATAAAACTTGGAAATTTAATAAGAATTCATTTTTATGTAAGAATAATGATAATATAGTTATTTACTTTTAAATAATCTTATATATTAAAAAAAATTATGAAAAATAAAGTCGGTCCGTCTAGCTGTTCTATCTGGCTGATTTTCATCATTTTTTTTTTTTTTTTTTTTTAATGAAAGGTATTTAAATACAGATATATCATAATGTAAATCATTGAAATTTACTCAACTCCCACCTTACTCAAATTATACTCAAACGCGATTTTTCTCTGTATTCTTCTTTTTCTTTCCTTTCTTATGAGATACATTCACTCAAGAAATTCAAATTTTCATAGCTCCTCTTCTAATGAATCGATCTTGATCGTTTCACTTTCATAAAACTTAGTGGATCAAGCTCTTTCTTTTGCGCTATTAACTGTTGAAATTTGTTGAGTTTGATGAAAGTTATGCGTGTACAATGAATTTTACATTCAATTTTTTCAAGATTTTTTCAATATTTTCCTTCGCTCAAACTAGAGTTCTAATTAACGTAAGCTGTTGACATAAGTCTAAGAACACTCAGTGGATCATTCTCTTTCTTTTGAGCTATTAACTACTTAAATGTTTGAGTTTGAGAAAAGTTATGTGTGCACAATCAATTTTATTTTCAATTTTTTCCAAATACTGAATTCTCACTGGCTTTTATCCGGTGGTGATACAATAACAAACTACTCACAAACAATACTTATATTATTTCTTATATTAGCTAATATTATCTAGAAGGAAGTACTGTATGATAATTTTAATAATAATTACACCCTCTCATACATATTCTATCCTGATAATGCTCCTAATCCTTAAATTTGGTTTTTATCTATAAAATTAAAATCAAAAAACTCCATAGACAGTTAATTTATCTAAAAAAATTTACTTATTAAAATTTTTAAACCTACTTACTTTCTAAAAAATAAAAATAAAACTGATTGTTTTTACAAAGAATACACTTTTTGGATATTCCTTTTTAGGTATTATTTGATAATTCAGTCACGCATTGTATTTCAATATTTAAATTTTACAATTAAAACATTATAAACAGTAGATATTTACTGATAACATTTTATTTGAAAGTGTACTTCGTTTTTCGTCAAAATATTTACGTCAGTAAATATAAACCGTCTGCATTAAAAATTGCTTTTGTTCCTCGTATTTTGTGATTTTACCATTGAAATCACTTATTAATTTCACTAAGCTACATCATTAATAACTTTAACTTGACTAAACAAATTTACTTCATTCTGATAGAAAATATTTTTTTACCATTATGTCGGGTTTTCGTTTAGGAAATCTGTAGAAATGCTAAACCTTTCAAACAATTTCATCGATGAACTGTTGATGAATTCATAAAGTTGTTTATTTATAAGTAGCATATAATTATTTGTTGGAGAAATATAACGTTTAATTTGTTGACGCTTTATAACACATCATTGTATCGTATCAATTGTACTTATTAGACATTTAGCTACTATATATTTGTTTTTCAACACAAGTCTTAAGAAAAATATTGAAATAACTATTAAATTTATAGGTAAGGATATTTTTTTTATAAAATTTTTCCTGATGTTTCAAGGGAGAGGGGGTGAACCTCTTTAACTCCTTCCCTGCGTTTACACCTGCAAACGATTTATAATGCAAAAACAAGGTAATTTATTATGGATTTATTTTCAATCTAAATTAAATAAAAGCTTTTATCTTTTCAATGTTATTATTTTTTTCAAAGATTTTTTAAATAATTTGACATACAAAGTAATTGTTTGCTTTCAAATTATTTAAACATTTCTTTTTATCTTATTACTGTTTATCATGATATTTTGGTAGTTTTTAATTTTAATTGAATGGGTATGTATTCAATTAAAGTAAGAGTAAATTTTTTTCTCAAAACTATGTAAAATGAATTAATGTATGTAGTGTTATTTGATATATTCGGATAGTTAATATAGTAATAAAATATTTTACTCAAAAATATGATTTATTCGAGCGTAAATTAAACCAGTTATAATAAATGAATTATAATTTTCAAACCAATATTCTCGGTTAGTTAAGTATAAAATGTAAATAATCTATTGCTTGCTATAAACTTCTTCTAGAAATAAGATTATTCGTGTAGATAAATAAAACTTTGTTTATCATCCTATTTTGGGGAAAAAAAGGTTTTTTGTGCAGAAGATTTATGTCGGAACTCAATTCAAATGATAAGAAACCTTAAAAAAAACATCACGTAGATATTGATTCAAGCTTTATAAAAGTGACAAGTTAACGATAACTTTTTCTTTTATTAATACATTATTTTAATATTTTAACGTTCAATTTAAAGATTTTATGAATTCCAAATTTAACATACAAATTATGATTTTTATACAAACTATTAAATAATATATACATTATTTATACTTAAAAACAAAAGTACTTGACTTAAAAAAAAGTATATCTACTAAAAACTAATTCATTTTAAAGTGAGATAGTTTTGGTTTTTTTTTTTAATTTTATAAGTAGCTTGTGTTGACTGTGATAATGTTGTATTTAACATAAACCCTAATAATATTCTCATATTAGGAAAATTCTGTATTTATTTACACAACCATACATTCTTGTAAATGCATTCCAGATGGAAAATGAAATATCCAATGATCACACATATTTAATTTTAATACAAGAATAACAATTCGTTTGCAAATACGTATTAATTAAGTCTTACATAATATGTTGATCATAAATTATAGTAACGCTGTACAAAGAAAAAAAAAAACAACAACATTTAATCTCAACAATAAAAAATGAAAAAAAAAATAATTATACACTTAGAGCGAATGACAAAATGACAACGAAAAAAACAAATTGGAAACTGGAACGATGGATTAGGGTAATTAAGGAGTGGCGGTAGGATGGAAAGGAAACGCGATTACAAGTAAAAGTCATCATCGGGGAAAATCAAAGTCACGGAAAGTGGTGCCGAACCAATTGGGGAAATACGATGAGGCGATCAGGTGACGGGGCGACGCGGGTTGGGTCAAGTGTCGTTTCCGGTGCGGCGCGCGGAACGTGCCCGGTCGGACGGCTGCGGCGTGGAAGCCGTCAGGTAACTCGAACGGGTACGGTGGCTCTTCGAAGTGGAATTCCATCAGCGGCTGTTTCTGCACCCTCACCTCGGCCGAGTCCCCGTCCCTGTCGTCACGCTTCGTCTCCGGCATAGGGTCATCTGTCGTGTCGCTGCTGTCGGGGGCGCGTGAACCCTGCGCCTGTTGCTCGGTAGTAACGTCAGGCCGGAGGCGCACCGGATCGTGTTCGGACGACTGGTACTGGACGCCGGTGTTGTACGTCTCGGCGGACGCGGGCAGCGTCGAGTACTTGCGCGTGTAATGATCCGACGGCTGACCGTTCGGGCCCTGATCGCCGAAAGAGTATCCGAACGGGCTGCTACCGCCACCGCCTACAGGGCCCACTTGATACTGTTCGGGACTGCCACCGCCGACTGACGGGAACCGACTGGACAGCTGGTCGAAATGGCCGTTCGGCCTACCACCGCCGCCTCCGCCGCTGTAGAGATCGGTCGACTGTTCCACCGATGCCACCGGCGGACGTTGCTGTTTTCTGTAACCACCGCCCGCTGACTTGGGCCGGCCGCCGTCGAAATGATTCGGTTTCTTCGGGCCGCCGTGCTTCTCCACTCGCGATTTCTTGTAGTACTTGTTCAACGACTGTTTGGGCCGGCCTGTCTGCTGCGAATGACCGCCCGGCAGGTCGTCCAAGTGCTGGCCGAAATCACCCCCACCGAAATCGTCCAGTCCGCCACCCCCGCCGCCCCCACCACCTCCACCGCCGCCGCTGCCTCCACCGTGTCCCTCGTACATGTACTTGACGTGCGCATTGAACCCGTTGTGCTTGTCGGCCGTGTATTCGACCACGCGCATGTGACCGTCCGGCTGCAGCAGCGAGTACGACCCGTGCACCGTGTCCCCGTCCCTGTGCTCCCAGTGGTTCTTCACATCCTTCGTTTTCGGGTCGTGCACCCAGTACCCATACTTGTACAGCGGTTTCACCTGAAAACCAATCCGCGAATCAACACACCTGCGTTACGTTGGTACACTAAAAACATTTCCATTCGAGACGGTCGTGCGAAGAAATTTTCCAGATAGTAGAGGAAAAGAGAGTTTTACTATCCATCATTAGATCAACAAGCGGAAAACTTATAGGACAATTAATGAGACATGACCCTTTCATAACTAACATAATGGGAAGAAGAATAAAAAGGACGCAAAGGACGAGGAAGACCAAGGAAGACATTCATAGAAGAGATGATTGGAATGGCTGGATGTAACAGGTATTCACATACGAAGACTCTGGAATTGGAGATAGAGGAATGGAGATCTGTTTTTTTTTAACTATGACAAGCCTTTAGAAAAAATCAAGAAGACGGTTGTGCGATCGAGAATATCAGCTTTTGAGCGTTATAAAGATCGCGTATAAAGATCAAAATGCACGCGTGCAAAGAAAAACGAACCTAAAACACTCCAGGGAACGTTCATCATGATCGAAATAAGGGTTTGTCGTGTTCGCGAATATATTAATGTATTTTGCCAATCTATTTGTTTTTACCGTTAATGATTGTAGCGTAAATTGGTATAAAGTCATTGATACTTGTAGTATATAACAGTATATAACATAACAAGTGTATTATGTTAAGAACAAACTTATTTAAAACCAATCAAGTATACTTATTAAAGCAAGAACTTCATTTCTTATATGGATTTTACAATGCAAAAATATAATTATTAGTTTAACTGTGATATTATAATAGATTTGCTACCGAAAAATAATGTAAAATAGTAAAAAATTATTAATATGTCCATTTTTTATTTCTACCACTAACATTTTCTATATGAAACAATATTTAAATAGGTTAACACAAAATATATGAACAAAAAATAGTATAAAGCTTGAGATTTTGACAATTATGATTGTAAAACTAGTAATTTTTGCTTTCGGATCGTCGTACTTTATTATCTGTTTATCAAGATAGCTAATATGTGTGTTACTTGGACCTACCCATTGAGATTAGTGACGCTGAAGATGATCCACATTACTACGATTTAAACCTACTTGTGACTTGTATCATTAGGGACCATGGTAGAAGAAAGGGGCTTACAACCACTAGGAGCGAGACGACAATAAAGTCGAGTATACTAGATATGTCCCTGGAACTGCTGCCGTTTCTTGGCCGAATCTAGTATTTTTTTTCCAATAAAGTCATATGTCTAAAAGAACTATTAAGGGATTATTTGTGGTTCATCTTTTCACTAGTTATGATAATAAAAAATCAGTTCAAATGAATTTAAAGAATGCTGTCTCTTCAACCCGGTCACGCGGAATAACTACTGCTAATAAACTCTATTTTTGGCGTACGCTACAAATCATAAACTAAATGTAATTTTACTAATAATACTACTATTAACTATAATCATAATAACGTTATCACTATGATTGTATTGAGTATGTTTACTTGATGCTCTTCGTGAAGTTCATCGTTGTGACTACCTCCGCGGCCGTCTCCGATTGACTCGCTAAAGTACTGACACCAGACCGTCCTCTGTGCTAAGGCAGCAAAAGCCAACACTCTGAACACCTGTGCAACATGTTTCCAATATTTTTAATATAACAATAACTGATATAATAATAATAATGATAAAAATAGTAAAAATAGAAATATTAGTATGCTTTACATAATATTGACATTATATATGGCACGTTCGAGCTAAAAGCGGTTTTCCGTAATCCGACTGAGGATAATGCATTGTTACTGCTAATATTCGTCCAAGTCTTTTGTTGAAAATAATCCGTAAAACGTTTTTATTATCATTTTTAAATGTATATTTTTATATTTCTTTTCTTCGTTTACCACCTTTTGCACAATTGCTTCAGTTTCAACTTACGTAGCCCGTGATAGTGCCTGTCTACGTATTATGTATTCTGTCACCGTAATATTAGACACGCCGTTCATTCGATCATTATTGATCTCAACTACTTGACATCCATTATCACTCGTAAATATATATTTTCCCTAATCCTACAAAATTTATGCGTGTGATTAATATATGATTTTCGTACAAACTCATTCGACACAACTCTATCACATTGAATTTGTATGTATGTGAACGATGAAAATACAGGTAATCGACGTTTGGGAAACGCAAGAACTTTAAAAAATGACAACAAAAAACTATTTGTTTAAAAAAAAACTACTGTTCACTGAAATTATTTGAATTATAACGTAAAGCGAGAGGCTTTACTTCCAAGCATATTTTTTTAATATTTCTCTTGGTTTCATATTTCATACTGTTATAATAAAAATAGCGATCGAATAAATGATAGCATTACATAATTTGCAGAGCTAAAAATATTAATAAAATACAAATTAGTAAATGGTTAATACTCATAAATTAATATATACATTTTTTTTCATTAATATTTTACAAACAATTTAGACGCATTGCTTTTAAAATCATTTCTCCCTATACTTCTCACATGTAAGCAAGATCCAAGTTTCCGTTTTATATACAAAATATTTAAATAAATAATTTATACATAGAAATAAATAAATAAATGCTTAGTCTGAAGTATTATTATATTTATAATGTTCGACTGGTTTGGAACTAAAAATTAATTATCATATATGTAAATAAGTCAGTAAAATCGTGACTTCAGTTTAGAATCAAGATTTTATTGACTTACTAATTTTACAAATATAATAATACTCCAGGATGAACATTTATTCATTTTTTTTATTTATTTTGACATAAATTATTTATTTGTATATTATACATATTATATTTAATAATTGTTAAAAATTAAAAATATTATTAAATTAATTATTATTAAAATATTATGAATGTTTATAAAATAACCAATAAAATAAAACTATACAACAAAAAAAAAATTAAATCATGAGTAATTCTAAAATGTGATTAGGATAAAGTAATTAAGGAATAATTAACTTCCTTTAAATTACCCTTCCATAACTTTGAGCACTGAAACGTCAATTTATATCAACTTATATAGAAATTAAAACCTAAATATGCAATAATGTCTACGTTTATCGAATCCGTACACTTTTTGACTGAAAGTATTCAAACATAAATGCAAATAATACTATATATTAGATAGTTTCTTATATAATAGGTATACATACACATTATTTCCAGTTGAATGAATTTCAATAAAATGCAATGAACGTTAGAATAATTTAATAAATATAAAACTAAAAATCGATGCAATAAAACTTCAAACAATACTAATTCACAACACCACGTTTCTGAAAATTGATATAATGCTCATATCTAATGTTACTACATAGTTATTAAAGAGAACAAATATTATTTTATTGGATTACGTTGAAAATAAATTATTCATATAAAAATAATAATTATATTTATGTCGGATTTGAATTTGTTCGTGTATAATAAATGTAAAAGTAATAAAATTTGTGTTTTATTTTTTAAAACACATATTTCTATTACAAATATTTTTAATTACTGATGATTATATAATATTAATTTATGTTTGGTTACATCATTTAGGGTTTCATACAACTTGCAATTTCTATTCGAGTGCACCAGCAAATTTAAATTTGTTAAATAATGATTATTATATGCACAAAATATGTTGTACAATTATCAGACTAATATACTAGTAAACAAATTATTGACAACCTTAAAATATATTTATATTATAAAAATAATAATAATATATATATATATATATATATATATATATGCTATACAGTTAGCTAGAAAAATAATTTATTATATTTTCATACCTTTTAAAATAAAACCATGATTATATTATGATTTTTTTTTTCTTAAACAATTTGTAATTTATGTATTTTAATTTTATTATAATTAGAATTGAACTTAATAAAATAAACAATTCTATTAATTTAAATTCAATAAGTGAATTATAAGTTTGGACTACAATAAGGTTGCTCACATGTAATCAATATTGAAGTACTTGAAGATGGTTATATTTACTAAATCTGCTTTAATAGTTAAATTTATTGCCATATCACGTATAAGATAAAATATTATTTGTAAAGTGGTGATAGTGTAAATGCTTTTTCTTCTTCTTTTTCTCTTTCTTCTTTCTCTCAACTATTTGGTCTTGGCCACCCTTGTCCTAAACTTCCACTCGTTTCGATTTTCTACATCTCCTACACACCCACCAACAACCTTTATATCATTCTCAATCATATCTAACCATCTCTTTTTTAGTTTTCCTTTTCCTCTTTTCCCTTTGGGTAAATAATAAATAATAATTATAAAAAATAAATAAATAAATAATTATTAATAATGAATTAATTATACTGGGAATAATTTTCATCAATTTTATTTGTTACATAAATTATTTAAGATCTATATAAAATAAGAAATATTTTTAACATTATTAGGCCATATTATTGTTTAATAACTAAGTTACAGAAGTCCTTTTTTCTTTTTCGATATTCTAATTTCGAGTTTAAATTAAACGATTAATTTTAAGTATTTTTAAGAATTTAACCAACTTTGTAAATTATTTAATCAACTTTAACTGAATGCGAATTTTTGTTGGCATAAGATCGGTGTTATCCATATTCTTAGAATCGTTTATTTGGATTGACATTTTGTTTATTGAACGAAAGAAAACAGTGTTCTGAATTTCAATACAACCCTCAAAAAATATGTATTAAGTTTCCGAGCTCATTAGAAAAAAAGAAAAAAACGTTTGACGTTATCAGAGTTGAGTGTTATTTGTAGTAAAGAATATCAAAAAATCAAAATATAATGTAACATTTATAAATAAATGAACATACATTAATTCGTACTTACATTTATACATAATCTCCTTTATTGAAATTTTAATGATATTTTATAATTACATTGTCCTTTAAAGAGATTTCGTAAGTATTATATTTCTTATTTTAAACGGATTCTAAGTGTTTCGGGAAACATTTTTGGGGAAAATTTAAACACATCCAACATGTAATATAAATATTTTACTTACATAATATAAGTCACGCTTAGAAATTTTCTTAATATGATAATAAGATGTGACCCAGTACTAAATTTAAATAATCGTTATGAAGTGTCTACAGTTTTGTAGGTACTACATAACATTAATTTGAAACTGATGAAATTTTCTTGTTACATTATATGAAGAAATATAATTATCATATTATATTGTTTTTCCACTCATGAGCAATCACAAACGTAAAAACGAGTATATTAAATTATTAATTTTATGCACATCTTATAATCGATTATAAATCATTCATATATTTACTTGATGTAATTGTGATTAATTTTGTTAAACCCTATATTTCAAATGAAAATATACGAAACGTAAATATGAAATAACATATAACATACTATCGACATGTATAAAAAAAATAAAACTTTAAACGTTTTGTATCTTATAATATTGTCACGGTAATTACAGCAAAACAGAATAGAACAAAACGATACAGCTAACGTATCATTTTCGATACCACCGAAGCGTATAGACGAGAAAAAGGATTGAAATCAATAAGAAAAAAGTAGAATTATTAAACATACAGGGTCTTGTACTTGTATAGCGGATAACTTACTTGGCGACTCGCTGGTACGGTATTCATAATTCACCCAGATATTATAGTATAAAATCCCTTGTCCTGCAGATCGGTCTTACGTGGTTAACGTCGATCGTAGAACTTCAGTTAAAGTCCAGATAAGTATGATGAACCGGATTGCAGATAATATAACAACAATAACAACAATTCTAACAATTATAATAATATTATAGTACGTCCTGCACAACGGTGATTGCCCGGTGTAGTGGTGACGCGGTCTATGGCAGGCAGTGGCTCGGCACCGTTAATTATGTATCACTTCATTTTCCCTCCATTTTTCTACCAGCCGTACAAACCGTTTTCCTCTGCCACCGGGACACCGGGACCACCGACCGTGACACGTAATAACGCGGGAGATAAAAAAAATAAAATAAAAATGAAAATGAAAAAAAAAACAGCTAATAAATAGCCAACATACGTGTTGCAGTGTCTAAGTGTCTGTACGGTTACGTCTTCTGATATTGTTAAATACCCCAGATTTCCATCTAAACCATAATAATAACATTATGATATTGACAGCTGTTATGAGCCTATAACGGGCATAATATTATAATACTAGTGTAATGTTATCGTAATGTAATCGATTTGGCGGAACGGTACGACTATAATGTAATGTTATCGCTCGGCGTACGTGTTTGCTGCACGCATCGTCTGTTATGCGGTACAGGTAGGTGTACGCGATTTGATGCGTAGGATCAAAATGCTAGGAAATTTCCAGAAAAATTCGAGAAAAAACGGTTTATATTTCCAAAGCCTCAGAAAATATAAAAAAATTGAAGAATATTCAAATAATACATTTCCGAAAAAATCCGATGTTTTCGGAAAATAAAAAAAATAAAATTTTTTTCAGAAAATAATAAATATAATTTGTATTTATATGTACGCTTAAAAGTTAAAATAATGTATATATAAAAAAATCCTGTTTTAAATAGTATTCATCGGCCGCGGCGGTATTGTCCATACGGCGTACAATTGGTTATCGGTATAATTATCTAACTAATAATAGTTATTACGGTCAATACGGACATTTTTTCTAAAAATAATGTTACCTATTATTATGTATTACTTATTTCATAGTATTGAGTACTATAATGAAGTCGTTAGTATTAATATATTTGAAGTTAGTGAATAGTAATTAGTTACCACTTAATAGTTTATAATGTTAATATTGTAAGTTATGATAACTAAAAAATAAAGGTTAAGTTTAAAAGGCTGAAAGTATAGAATCCTCAAGATCAGCGACACCAAGAACTCACACTTTTGATAAAATACAGGAAAAAACCGCATACATTTAGTAGGTGAAAATCGCTTACTTTTTTAAATTACTGTAACCAAAAACCGCACATTTTATAATGATATATAATTTATTATTTATTATTTATTATTTATACTACATATTTATTTAAAAACAATTTATTGAGGTACAATGTATATAGGAATTGAAAAATTTTAAATATAAAATTTAAAAAAATATAAAAATGTTTGTGGCTAAAATTTTTTGTTGACGTTTTTTCAAAAAATTAAAATATAAATAAAAATTGCCCCCTTAATTACTATCTTCTTCTTCTTCTTCTTTTTCTTAGGGTTTATTGGGCCTTTAAGACCATCCCGTCACACAACCTTTATTATAATTAATAGTTTTAAAATCCATTTATAAAAAACACTTTTTTTATAATATATATATATATAAATTTTAAGTTATACCACGCGTTTCGGTCGACAAATGGTTATTTTTCGAATACATCAACGTGCGATAAGATAAGCTTTTGAATGTAACAATTAACTTTAAAATTATATATACAACATTCGTCTGTACAAAATACATTATTATTAATACATTATATAGTGAGGTTTTTACCCACTATAAGTGTGCGGTATTTGGCTGTACGATATACTTACCTGGCAATTCATAAAGTGTGCGGTTTTTGGTTGTAACCCTCAAGATTCATCCATTGTAACATTATTAATATATTATTAATTATCTTTGTTCATTGCGGAGAGTTTCCATTTTTCCAACGTTTCCACTAATTGTTCGATTCTTAGGGAAAAAAAGTATTTTTTTTTTTTAAAGAAATTTTTCAATTTTTCCTGAAAATCCATTTTTTTCTGGAAATTTAAATGAAATTCAATTTTTCTAATTTTTCTGAAAATTTATTTTCAATTTTTTTCAGAAACCCTTCTTTTCGGAAATTTTGATCCCCAATGACCCGTACAAATACACCCATATATTATTGAAATAACTATGGTCACAATGGTTCGTTCGTTGTCCTGAAGAGACACCATAGGATTTTTGAGAGATGCTTCAACTTCGACGTGTTCGTTTAAAAACGATTTAGTCAACGTTCGTTCTCGTTGTCCCGTGTACACGCACGTAGGTGAACGATGTGCTTCATTATATATTTATGATAAATGACATGTGTTCGGTATTTAAAATGAATGTCGGAAGTGTTATGAATTTCAATACATTTGATTCGTTCGGTATCCGAATTATTCCACTCACTATACTATTCATTTCCCAAACGTAATCGTTACGATTTCAACGAACGCAATCCCAACATTTTTCATCGGTTAAGTTTTCTTCTTCTTCACTAGCTTTCACAGCTCAAACAGAAGTTTTGCCACCATCACCACATACCTCCATTTCTTTTGGTCTTGAACAATTTTCATCAATTTTTGCACTTTCGATGCTTTATCGAAAGTTCATTATTTTTTTATCCGTATATAGTTTAAAAACGCGACATTCATACAAATGTGACGTAGTATAAGTTTAATCTAGCGTTTTTTTCTTTTAAAAGTTAATTTATTTTTATTACCAAGTACTACTATTCATCACTTCTTTCTTTTACCATGATTTATAAATAGACATTCATTTTGCCAAATAATTTAAATAATTCAATATTTATAAGTAATTCCTAAAAACAAATTAAAATTAAAGTTATCCATATGCATACCAATTTGTTTTAAATTTCTTAATACCTAATAATCTATTATGCAAGGATCATTCTGACCATGTAATTCTGGAGAAACGTTTAAAAAATCTGTATTACAAGTGATATCACCCTTTTGACTTACATTTTTGTACGCTTGTACTTCTATAAACTATATATACATTTTTTAATCACGTGTATTTTGTATTTATTATTATTTGTATAGTTGTAATAACATTCATTTAATCATGTTTATTTTAAAATATATCAACAACGAAATTATTATATGAAGTGGAGAGTTTACATAATGCAAAAATAATTCAATAAATGTGATTCAATTCTAATTTGACAAAAAAAAAAAAAAAATTGAAACTTTAATTCAAATATTTAATTAATTTATTTTATAAATAATCTGTATTTAATAGTTCTAAATATTGTTTATAAGCTATAAGCTCCTTTATAACATTAAAAAATTAAATAGATTTTATTTTTATTTTTAGTATAATACTATACCACAAAATAATAATTTATTATAATTATTTTGACTTTAATTTATTTTTCCAATCAGCATTAAAACGTACAGTAAAAAGAATCAAATAATAAATACCAGAAATAATTTATATTAAATCATTTTATTGCAGGCAAACAAAATAACACTTTTCAATATTTTATATAATCATTATATTTATAAATTCAATAATAAGGTATCAACAATATATTCAATTAAAATATTTTAAATTTAAAGATTTATGGTAACCATTATGTATTGCAAGAAAAATAATGAAACCAAGATGGTCTTGTAGATAAATTGTAGACAAATATATATAATACAAAGGCATTTGATTTAATACATTTATCAAAAATATAGTATTATAAGAATAATAAATGTAAAAGATAAAATGTAAGAACAAATAATAATTAGATAAATATAATTTTTTACCGTTTACAGTTTAATAATAACTTCTTATCCATAATAGGACATTAATACAGACTATTAAAAATAATAATAAAAAGTAACTAAAAAACTATAATATTACAATATAAAGTAATACAAATATTTAATAATTAAATATCCCTAACCTGACATTTGCTAAATTAGTATATATTTTAAATACAACTACTATTATTCATTGCATTATCATATTTTAAAAAGAGAAACAAATTTTATTTAAAAATTAGCTACTTACCGTGCGGGTTGCCAAAAAACAGAGCATACTAATATAGGACCATTTTAATTTAAAATACAATAAACTTATGAAATATATAATATAAATGGAAGCAATTTAACAAACAATATAATAAAATTAATTATTTAAATAAGACTTGTATTTGTTAAACCGAGAAAAACAAACTTATTATTATGCATATAAGTTATAGTTTATCAAGTATATTGAGTCCTTTAAAATATATATATATATATATATATATACATATTTTGACAAGGTCTTCAGCAGCGATTGTACAATTTGAGAAATGATTTTAGGAACCCAAAAGACGTACACCGAGCTCCGAACCAAAGTTCAGTTATTTCTCATAGTATATATACGGTAGGAACTACTCGTTTTACTTGTTTCAAATAAAACCATAATGCAATTAGACATTTTTTTAGTAATATTTATTATTATTAAAATTACAAAATATAATAGATAGTCAAATAATTAAAACTACAAGTTCTGTTCTGTTTGCCGTTAAGCTGTCACATTCGTCACGCCACTCTTGCATTTACTATCAATATTATTAATAGGTATTTAATAATGTTCACGCGTGAGCATGATATACGAATTCATCCGTTATGTCTTTTGTCAAACCATACGATTCGTCTGAGTAAAATTTGTCGTTTTTTTCTTCAACCAAACTAGATGCATTACTATTGATATTAATGGATTGAAATATTACGTTATTTTAATTTTAATTGGATTATATTATCAACATATTACAATTTATTAATACTTTTTTTCATATAATCATTGTTATGTTTACTAAAATTGTCATAATATTTAAAATTTTTTAGCTAAATAGTTATATTGGTAGCAAAATAAAGGAAAAAAAATGTAAAGTAGTCCTTAAAACTAATATTTAATAAACTAATTATGTTAATATTTCATGTTATACAAGTGCCCATTAAGGATAACAATAATTCCTTTTTCTTTAAGAATAGGAAAATCTAATATAAACCGTTTATCTATTTACAAAATATGTATTTTATAAAATATTATATTTATATGAATATAATATTATTTGCTCCTTTATGGGTTATCACTTCATTATATGTAGGTAAAACAACTATCTTATTAATAAAGTATTT